CGTCGATACTATCTCCCGAAATACTTTGGTAGTCTTTAGCGACAGACACAGACATTACCAATGGAGCGTGCTAAAGATCAAAGAGTTAAGAAACGCGACAAATACGCCGCAACGACACGACAAAAGGTCACAATTGTCAAGCGTAATTAGTCTGTGGAAAGGAACTTTAAGCGTTTAACTAAGAAGAATAGGATTCAGGTATTTAAATGTAGGCAGCGTATTTTGAGATCAGTCTGTTGAATAGCAAATTCGCCATCCTTATTCATTTTGCTTTGTGTTTGAAGATAAATGCAACTTAATCGCTACCTCAAAAGGCCAAATTCGTGATTCATTTTCCGCACCAATTTTCATGCGATATACGTTAGACTATATTTATCGAAATGTGTGTGCAATGCAAAGGCTAGCATATTACTAAGCAGCCCTTGAAAGCCATATGGTTGTAAAACTGAACATTAAACGGAGGATACTCGCTGCGACGGAAGTCGTGTTTAACAAACACTATTTCTTTCAGCGAAAAAAACACAACAGAATGGAACGCCGTCATATCGGTCTGACAATCCGTGAAGAATAGAGTCCGCTATAATTTGCATCCTATTACGTCATCGATTGAAAAGAGATTCATTAATTTTTCCATAAAGGGTTGGAAGCGGAAGCTCTAAGTTACACGTGAAGAGTTTCAAAATCCTAACAGTCTTGTGCTGCAGCGATCGCACTCTCGTCCTCTCCAACTCGTGCTTGATGTCGTGACAGAATCTAGTGAACGGAAGTGGAGTCAGGCACGGGTAGTTGGCGCGTAGTAAAGTGTCCGTTTGACAACATAAATAACCGTGCTCATATAGACTACTAGCATTTGATGCAGGCTGATCAAATCGCACCAAGTGCGGAGTCCACGATAAATAAACCAGGTCTTGCCATTCTGCCCAAGGAGGAAGGAAAAGTTATTTCCTTGCAGGTATTGTATTACATAAAGTTTGGCACACTCTGGTAGATTCGAATGATTCGGCTTTTTGATCGCGCACTGACCATTAACTGACAGTTAACACCACG